GGGGGTCATGCGATTTTTAAATGGTGCTTCCCATATCCCACCAGCCCCCCCTCCCTCATAAAAAATGAACGGTCCCTAAAATTGAATTGAATTGCCACACGAGTTTCTTGGTCTGTGTCCTTTACACCTGTAGCTGCATGTATGATCATCACAGACATTTTCTCATTCAGAGTTCAGCTTTTCAAGCTCAACTTGTGGGCAAGTGTACTTGGTCTGTTGAGTTGGTGTGAAATCCTAGTATGTGTTTAAGCCTAGGGCCAATAAAATGTGACAAAAAAAGTCGATAAACTACCAGTAAAAGAGCTCTAATTTTCTCTCACTTTCACGCACGCAAAACATGGTGTCACATGAGTGCACACCTAAATAAAGGGCATGACTCCAATTCCCATCCAAGATTGCAATCTTTGATCGAGGATTGCTAAAACACCTACCGTACAACCCATGATGAAATTTTCACAGTTGATTTGTAGGGCTAAATCGCGTTTAGAGCCAAGATTTAAAAGAAATCTGTAACTAAAGACAGATTTTGAGCTATTTTTGATTTTACATTTTCTTAGTTTGCAAAAATGCATGAATGTTACATCAGAGCCAATTTAATAATGGAAAGGATAAATCTCTGTATAGTTATACTCCCTCCTGCATGTTTCTAGCATGAAGGTCCCCACCCTGCAGTGCAGGCAGTTTTCGTGGCAAGTTCACAAAACGTGGAGAGTTGATTCAGTGAGGGCCTTTAGGAATTTTTTCTCTAACTCCAGCCCTCCACTGTTTATCCAATCCAAGATGACAGCCTATATGTAACACTTAATACTGGAATAATTATGTGCACTTGTTCGCCTGCATTGCGGGCTAGAAGTTCCTGGATTTTTAAATCATTCCTGCTTCATTTGCCCTCATTTGTATATCAACATTAACCGTAAACATTTCAAATAAATGGGCACTTAATTTTGGTGATAACAACCAGTAAAGAAAAGGAGAATAATCTTTTGCTGTTACTGGCTTTATATGTCAATTTCAATTGAAATATATGTTTTTTGGCATTTGGTACTATTTTAAATAACGAAGGTTAACGGAGGAAAACGGAGGTAAATGGATATGAACGGAGGTAAACGAAAGTGAACGAGGGTGAACAAAAGTGAACGGAGGTGAACGGAGGTGAACGGAAGTAAACGACAGTAAACGGAGGTGAACGGAGGTAAACGCCCGGGGGTGGGGGGGGCACTCCCTTATATGGGCTATATAGATATGTGCGGCCCCAAAGGGTATGGTTTTTCAGCTGTTTTGGTCATAAATAGGGTATCAATTTTAACTGATTTGGGCCATTTTGGTCATAAATAGGGTATGGTTTTTGCTCTCTAGCCTTGATGCGGGTAAGAAGCCATCAAGAGGTCATCATTATCGAAAACAAAATCAACAAAAGCCCTTCACAAACTATGTTTACGGTAATTTAACATTGGTCTGAACTAGGGAACTAACTATAACGCATGTCTGAAACACGGTTTTGATTTAAGGGTCAGGTCATAAATAGGGTTTCGAATTTTTGATCAGGTCATAAATAGGGTGGGGAATATCGCAGATTTGGATCATAAATAGGGTAAGGGTTTTGTGAAGCGGGCCCCACACCCCCACCCCTTTTTTTTACTAGGAGTACCCCCCGGGAAGGAAACGGAAGTGAACGGAGATGACCGGAGGTAAACGGAGGTGAACGGAGGTAAACGGAAGTGAACGGAGATAAACAAAAGTGAACGGAAATAAACGAAAAAGAACGGAGGTGAACGGGAGTAAACGAAAGTGAACGGAGGTTAACGGAGGTAAGCGGAGGTAAACGAAAGTAAACGAAGGTGAACGGAGGTGAACGGAGGTAAACGAAAGTGAACTCAGGTAAACGGACGTGAACGGAGGTAAACGAAATTGAACGGAGGTACGGAGGTAAACGAAAGTGAACGGAGGTGAACGGGGGTAAACGAAAGTGAATGGAGGTGAACGGAGGTAAACGGAAGTAAACGGAGGTAAACGGAAGTAAACGGAGGTGAACGGAGATAAACGAAAGTGAACGGAACTGAGCGGAGGTGAATCAAGGTAAACAAAAGTGAACGGAGGTGAACGGAGGTAAACGGAGATGAACGAAGGTAAACGAAAGTGAACGGGGGTAAACAAAAGTAAGCGGAGGTTAGCGCTAGTGAACAGAGGTGACGAAAGTGAACGGAGGTGAACAGGGGTAAACGAAAGTGAACGGTGGTCAACGGAGGTAATCGGAGGGGAATGAAGGTTAACGGAGGCAAACAGAGGTGAACGGAGGTGAACGGTGGTAAACTAAGGATAACGGAGGTAAACTGAGGTCAACGGAGGTGAATGGAGGTAAACGGTAAGGAACGGGGGTAAACGAAGGTGAACGGAGGTAAAAGGAGGTATTCGGAGGGGAACGAAGGTTAACGAAGGCAAACGGAGGTGAACGGAGATGAACGGAGGTAAACGGAGGTAAACGGAGGCAAACCGAGGTGAACGGAGGTGACCGGAGGCAAACCGAGGTAAACAAAGGTGAACGGACGGGAACGGAGGTTAACGGATCGAGGTAATCGTAGGGGAACGAAGGTTAACGGAGTCAAACGGAGGTGAACGGAGGTGAGAGGAGGTGAACGGAGGTAAACGAAAGTGAACGGAGGTGAACGGAGGTAAACGAAAGTGAACGGAGGTGAACGGAGGTACGCGTAGGTAAACGAAAGTGAACAGAGGTGATCGGAGGTGAACGGAGTTGAACGGAGGCGAACGGAGGTAAACCGAAGTAAATGGAGGTGAACGAAGGTAGACGAAAGTGAACGGAGGTAATTAAACGAAAGTGATCGGAGGTAAGCGAAAGTGAACGGAGGTGGACGGGGGTAAACGAAAGTAAGCGGAGGTTAACGGGGGTAAACGAAAGTGAACGGAGGGGATCGGAGGGGAACGGAGGGGAACGGAGATGAACGCAAGTGAACGGAGGTAAACGAAAGTTAACAGAGGTGAACGGAGGTAAGCGAAAGTGAACGGAGGTGAACGAAAGTGTACGGAGGTGAACGGAGATAAACGAAAGTGTACGGAGGTGAATGGAGGTAAACGAAAATGAGCGGAGGTGAACAGAGGTAAACGAAAGTGAACGGAGGTGAACGGAAGTGAACAAAAGTGACATACTTGGTAGTAAGTGGACAGAGGATGTAGCTTACATGAGTTAGTTAATTTGGAGACTATATGGCATTCAGCCATGAAGTATATACCCACTTCCGCGATCTTTCGCGTCACTGCGATGGGCTTGGGAAAAATTAACGCCCGGACGGAGTATGGCGGTATTCAGCGGACACACTTTTATTTAAAACTACGTTGTGTAAGTGATCCCGTAAAATTAAAGGACATTTCACATGCACATACGTAATAAGACATACTTTTCCCGCGTAAAATGTAAATATGGCGGACAAAGTGGACGAGGAATATCTCCGTCTGCAATTGCATGATTATAGAAAGGAAAATGGCTGTCTTTGTGTTTTTTTTCGAGGGTGATCTTAAAGAATTTTTCGAAGAATATATGTCATCGAATTGAAGCTGCTTTGTTCTGTCAGATTGCCATTGTAAGGAATCTTACTTGCAGGAAGAATGCGAATTTAATTTATGCAAGATTTGCCGAGATGATGACNAATGAAAAAAGCCGAAACAATCTAGTTACCAGTTCGAGAAACGCGAGCAGAACGTGATCGCAATGCATGCCGGGAAGGGTCTTTACACCTCGTGCGGGAAAAATTAACGCCCGGGCGGAGTGTGGGGGTATTCAGCGGACACACTTTTATCTAAAAATACGTTGTGTAAGGGATCCCGTAAAATTAAAGGACATTTCACATGCACATACGTAATAACACATACTTTTCCCTCGTAAAATGTAATTATGGCGGACAAAGTGGACGAGGAATATCTTCGTGTGCATTTGCATGATTATAGAAAGGAAAATGGCTATGTCTGTGTTGTTTTTTTTCGAGGGTGATCTTAAACAATTTCTCGAAGAATATAGGTCATCGAATTCAAGCTGCTTTGTTCTGTCAGATCACCATAGTAAGAAATCTTACTTGCAGGAAGAATGCGAATTTAATTTATGCAAGATTTCCCGAGATGATGATGGAGAAGACTAGGTGGGCTGCGACGGGTGCACCCAATATTTCCATGCGAACTGCCTCGGTGTCAGTTATTCCAAATCCTTTCACAGTCATTCTTCTTTTGCCCTCATTGAGAACCATTTTTATAGTTGATTGCATTATAAACTAGCCCCAGATTATTTGTCTTAAACAAGATTTTTGTTTTGAAAAGAGTCTTAATTCCATTTGTAAATTCTTGAGCCTCTTACCAGTTGTTTTGAACTCGGCATAACATTATATCGATTCCATGTCAGTAAACCTAAAAGTGAAACTGAGAAAATACTCTTCTTTTTTTTCTTTGCCGTTAAATTAATTAAACCTTAGTCAGCTGCCARAGTGATGGAACAACGTACTTCAGTATGCCTCGGAAAAAGGCCACGTTTGTCCGCTTTATATCAATGCAGAACTCGGAATGCTACCATTCGATTGTAATGAATTTTTGCCGGACGATCCGCGCGCAATGACGTAATTATAACTTACGTATAGAAGAGGGGAAAAAGAATTAAGTATTATAAATTCGTAAACAGAGGTGAAAATGATACCAGGTGTGCAACATTGAGCGAATGCACACTTTTGAAAGTTTTAAGCGTTATTGGATGACAATTGATGACACCTAAATAAAGTAAGTAACTTTAAAGATCTATGTGAATGGCACTTAAATTTTCCGTGACGCTTACACAACATATTTGTTATATAAAAACATGCCCGCTGAATACCCCCACACTCCGCCCGGGCGTTAATTTTTCCCACCTCGTGCGCGGGAAAACATGGCGGTCGATACAAGACAAATTTCATCACTCAAAAACCAGTTCTCGCTTTCCAAACTTTGACACTAGCAACGCTTGGCAAATGGGCCACAACTCACGAGAGGGTATTTTTCTTGGGCAAGA